TTATTTGTTTTTCGACGCCAGGTGAAGACCTTTTTATTTAAACGTCATTTTAATTGTTAACAATATTTGCTTATTTATCTGGCCAGGGTGACTTCTTTTATATTTTATATTTATTTTATATTGTTAATTTTAATTTTATATTGTTCTTTTTGTATTTTATTGTATTTTATTGTGTTGTAAGCCGCCCCGAGGCTTCGGCAAGGGGCGGCATAGAAATGTTCTAATAATAATAATAATAATAATAATAATAATAGGCTTAGGACCTGGATATTTGAAGGACTGCCCCCTAAGATCTGGGTCGGAAGTCCTTCTTCAGGAGCCCTCTTTGAAGGTCAGAGGAGTGGCTACCCAGAGAAGGGCCTTCTCTGTGGTGGTGCCCTGGTTATGCAACATGCTTCTCAGAGAGATGTGCCTAGTGCTGACACTTTATTCTGTTTGGCGCCAGGCCAAAACCTTTTATTTCTCCAACAAGTCTTAATTGTTGTTTTAATGGGTTTTTATCTGAGGATGGATGATGCTGTGCCTCTTATTGTAGTACTGTTCTGAGACTTTTGTGATAGGATGGTATAAAAAAGCTTTTAATAATAAATAAATGAACAATCAGATTCTGATTTACTTTAATGTGTTCGTGTTGTTGAAACTGGCTTCTTTGGCTACTGGCAGGGTGGGATGGGGGACTTCGTAACTTGCATGTAGCTTTGCAAGTCTTACATTTGGAAGATGGGGGAGATTAGTTGCCCAATGGGCACAGTCATATGCCTTCTTCCTATTGTGAGGCAGCTGCATTGTAGAGGAATGGGGTGGATGGACACCTCCCTCAGGGGCTTAGGGCTTCAGCACAGCAGGGACCACGGTGGGGTGCCACTGGGCATGGCTTCACTCAGATGGGGCGGACCCAAAGTGTTTGCTTGCAGGCATCCTTATATCACACTAAAGGTTTCTCCATCCTGTGTGAAGCTGGCTCCATTTGTTATCAGTTAAGCAGAGTACGCAGGGGCTTGGCTGTCTCCAGCCCTCTAGCATTCACCCAGACTTCTCCCAGGTGAAGCGAGAGTGCCTGCACATTGCAACTCCTGTGTGCGCCTGGTTGAGAGGGCAGCTGCCATAGAATTCCTATGCAGATCCCCTCCTGTGCACAAAGGTGTTGTTTGTGTGTAGAGAGCCAGTGTGGTGTAGTGGTTAAGAGCATGGGGCTGGGACTCAGACGATCTGAGTTCTAGTCCCCGCTCAGCCATGGAGCCAACTGGGTGACTTTGGGCCAGTCACAGACTCTCAGCCCAACCTACCTCACAGGGCTGTTGTTGTGGGGATAAGATGGAGGAGGAGAATGATGTAAGCTGCCTTGAGCCCTTTGTAGGAAAAAGGCAGGATATAAATTGAATCAATCAATCAATCAATCAATCATGGCATAGGTAAATGGCTAAGGCCTCCACAGGCAATTCTGTTTAATTCTTCAGAAGTTACATGAGAAATAAAATACAGCACATCTATAGAACTTGCTGGATTTTAATCAAATTGATGTTGATGAGGCAGTATAGCCCTCAGATGGGAAAGCAAAAGGGTTGCACACACAGGCAGTTGCCCTCAACAGGAGTCTGTGGGCCACTGAGAATCCACAGCCCACTTTCTTAGTAAGAACACTGAGTTAGGGCGGAAGCCGCTTTATCTATCGGCCAGCAGTCGCTTTCCTTACCTTGCCAGAAAGAGCACTGAGCCTCAGCTGACAATTGTCCTGGGACTGCAGAAGGGGAAAGCAAGCTGTGGGCCCTCCATTAGCCAAGGCAACATAAACCACTAATTCATTCAGGCAGGAACACCAGTAAGAGAGCACCACCATGGCTCCAAGTGCATTTGAAGATCTGCGTATAGCTCACCACATTGTTCTGGTCTTGAGGAACTGGCCTGCCTCCTCTTCCATTTCCCTTTGTGCCCTTCTCTTGTTTGCCTTGTTATTTTATTGTGCGAGCCTGATGACAGGGCCTTTCTTTTTTATTGATGTGCGCTTCTTTGGGAGACAGTAAGTGCCTGGAAAGTGGGCTATAGATGCAGAAAGGCACTGCATAAAACTCCAGTGAGAACCTTGCCAGACTGCTCCCTGTACCTTTGTTCACTCATGTGCAGAAACTCACATCTGTGTACACATTTATCTGAAAAACATGAAACACCTCTTTTTTAGAAGGGAGCTGCACTCACAGTAGGTTGCATACTTGCTAGACTAAAATTAGCTCAAAATATCAACAGAGATTCAGTTCCTAAATGTGCAAACTTCAGTCTACTGCAAATGTTTCCAAAAATATATATAATTGGTTATGATTGGCACTGGACTCAGGCAATTTCTAAAAGCAGTGAGACAGGGAAAAACTGGGACTGTGAGTTATACTTTCCAAAGAAGGAGCAAGGACAGTGTGACAGAAATGGTGAAACAATCTTTTTGAAGCACTAAGCAAAATGGGAAGTGTCAGGTTTCAGTGGCCCCATGATGGGCCACACATGAGGAGAGAAAGATAAAGTTCAAGTATGCTTATTTCCCTTAGTTATTTCAGAACTAAAGGAACAGAAATGTTTTTTTACTTCTAATGGTTCAGTTCCTTGAAATGCACATAGGGGCCAGGCTATCTGGGCTGCTACAGGCTTCACAAGAAAGGCTCCAGGCAAAGATGGACCTGTGACAAGCCAAGCTGTAATTAAGGACACGAGTTCTTCATGGCAGGGGTGAGTGGGTGGGCTTGGAGCTGGCCCTGGGTGCCACGCTGAAAGAGGTGACAGGCAGAGTTCAATGACTGTGTTTTCTTTCATGGCTGATTTTTCTATTTTTCTGGGAGTGAAAATTAAAGATTCTTCTGGCTAGCTTGTCTTTCACATTTCTTTTCCATCTTATCCTCAGGAAAGCTTTTGGCCGATAGAGTATCTGAGCTGTCATCTTTGCCGGCTATTGTTACAGTAGTTGTTGAAGGGTAAACATTTTTAACATTCATGAGCAGTTCAGAACTGACACTTCACTTGTCTTTCATAAAGTGTATCATGGTTTTATTCATTCATATTTTAGTTCATCTATTTCACACTCTCTAAAGCACAGATCTTCAATTTGTCTGTTACATGGTCTTGGAGACATTTGCTTTGTTATTCTGACAATATCTTTCAGCAATCAGATAACTGGAAAGCATGTGTTTGAAGCTTTATTTCTTAAGCACATCTGACAGATGGAAAGCTCAGCATGGGGGCTTTCCTTTCTGGCTTTCATATAGTTTAGCACATATTACTACTGTTATTCTTATAATTACTGTAATTAATATTAAACTACAAATTGGATCATATAAAGTGCTAAATTTATTGTCTTTGAACTCAGGTTCCAGTATTACAAAACAAATGATGAAAAATTAAAGATGAGACAAAATTGGAATTTTGCATTATGTCCTTTTCTTGTTACACTGCTTGCACAACATAGCTTTCAAAGCTATGTTGGGGATAATAGATGTTGTTGTACATGCTAGGGATATATATCTGTTTTGCTATCAATATATCATGCTCTTAAATAGTTTGTATTCTTATATCTGTATAACATAACTCATCCTCACATGAAGCAAGAAGACGGGGTAAGGTTTCTCTTAACTATAGACCTAAAATAAATAAAACCTCAAGAAGTCACAGAGAAATGTTGCTGGAATCACAGCCTGGGATCCTGTGGTGTCCTAGGATCAATTACATGCCTCATTTTACTGTGAATTGTGAGAACTGCTGAGGGTTCATCAAACTCTTTAAACAACACAGTTCCTAAACTGTAATTTTCAGATTCTAAGCTCACTGGCCTGTAATATCCAGGATTTTACCCAAACCATTTTTTTAAGGTTATTTTGGCTTATAGTTAAGAAGTCAATCTTAGGGACAAGTTGCTGATTATTTTTTTAAGAAGATGAGCATTGTTTCACATTTGAGTTCTTGAGTTGACAGATGAATAGGATTTTGATCTGTTGACTTTTACTATGTCAGTAATGTTTAAAACTTTGTCTCATCACTTCTATTTGTCTCAGTTCCTTAGACTCTCTGAAAAATGTTGGCTCAAGCACAAGTGAGCACAAGTGCCTTACACTGAAGGAGACCTTTGGTCCATATAATTCCATACTTACACTGTGACTTGTTTGCACAATATGAGAGTGCACTATGGACTATTTAACCTACTATGAGGTTGTAATCCTCACATAGCTCTGGTAATGTGAGTTGTTCAATCCTTACCCTCATTGTGACCCTAATCCTGAACAGGGACTGAATATGAAACCTGCCACCCATGGGTACTGCAACTCATGGACGCTGAAGCAAGCCATGCCAGGCCAGTATATTATCTGAACACAGTCACTGATTGGCAAATGACTGAGTTTCAGAAGTTCATCTTTCCCAGTCATGCCTGTTGTAGCCAGGGTTGAAACTGAGGCCTACTGCATGCTCAGGGAGTTACCAACCCTTCACTTCAATGGAGTGGGGAAGTCTTACAAAAGCTATTCGGTCAGGTATATCAAGATGGTGGGAAGGCCTGCTCCTGTTAAGCAAATCTGCACTTCTATATTGGAGTACATGTGTAGCCACATCTCTGCAGCTCTCTTCCGACTGCAGTACTGTCCCTGCAGTCTCAGCTTGGCTGTGTGGTAACTGTCCCATTGAGGTAAAGGGTGGTGCAGACAGATCCTAATGTATTTAATGCTCAAGTTGTGCTCTGATCTCTCAGGTTACTTCAAGAAACTGGCTTTTAACTAAGTCTTTATACCTGGAAATAAACACTGTTAGGGCAAGTGCTATTTATATTATTTTATATACTGTTTTCATTATAGCCTAGTGTTTCTTTCGTCTAAAAGTCCCAATATTAATTGGTTTGATATGGAACAGAAAATCACCTAATCACAGTCTGCCTTGAGCAAACAAAAAAGTTTCTACGTTTTACTATTGTGCTTTAGAACAAATGAAATAGGTCATAATGGATTGTAGAGACAAAAGAAGAAGACACATCTGGCTATGTTTGCACTGTGTTTTGGTTAACACTGGTTTATTTTCTTTTATACAAAAGATTAGAAATAGTGACAAAATGTTGATCAAGAGAGAGAGAAAAGCCCTTGCCTTGGGCTCACTGAGAATCTGGGCACATAGAATCCTTTTTTATTTTGTTTCACAGACACAGGTTTTGAGAAAGGAAAATACAAGACATGTTACATTATATCCATGCAACAGGTAATGTACAAAATGGTGGTCATATGAACATTTCGGAGACTCCTTGCATCACTATGTTTCCAAACCATGGCTTTTGTTCACCTATGCCTTATAACAGTACACTTTACAAACAAGTGACAGACACATATATTATTAATTTCCATATATGGTCTAGCTGCTACAAAGTTAAGGCATCTTTAGAGTCTGTTATTCTGCTGGTGAAAGTTATATCTCGTAGTTAAGTTTTCAAGTGGGAAGATTTCAGGCCATGTTTGGAGGAAGACTGTGAGACCCCATGAGATGTGAGTCAAAGGAAGAATTCTTGCAGCTCTGGTTCTTCAAAACAATTTTTGCTGTAAGACTTCTGGACTTTCCTGCTTGCGTTGTTATGCCTGAGAAGAGGGGGAAATACCAAAAATATGGTGAGATGGTATTTATTGTTAGATTGTTTTAATGTATTTGATTTTATGATTGTGAGCCGTCCTGAGATGCTGTGCATAAGGGATGGCATATAAAAGTTTTCAATAAATAAAAATCATCTATGATCATATAATAAATGAGCACTGCTTTGATTTGCTTTGTAACCCAAAGATCACTATATACAAAACAATAGCACTGGTGCAATCTCCTTTGAAGTGAGTTGGGCTTAAACTAGCACAGCTAGTTTAAAGATTATAGACAAGGATTCTTGACCCCTTGGAGTGGCAACACCATCAGTCCCTAATCCTGGATGGATCAGCTGCACTTGTTCAAATTGCCAGTTTCTGGAGAACATGCTCAAGTCTGCCTTTTATGTTGGCATTTGATACTTAATAGGATAAGGACAGGAAGGACTTGCCAAAGCCATCTACTTATATATAAGAACTTATACATATGCAATGAAGCTGTGTGTGCTTTTTACCATTTGTACTTCCCTGTTTAAGATTATATATTTTCAAAAATAGCTTGCAATGCAATATGGAGCTGTAAAATAGGAAGAGTGGATTTTATCGGGGAGAGAGCCTGGCATATATAATGCACTTCGGACTGTGGAGATTATATAGTGATGATTGTGGCAGTGGTAGAGAAGCTCCAATGTGCGATTTCCCGCAAAAGAGCTTAGAATCAAAATATGAAACTGAGAATTATAGCAAACCTGAAAGCCCAGTTAAGGCTCTGTTCTTAGAACACAGAATGTAAAATGATAAACAATGGCACAATACCAGGAATGCTTAGTCCCCTTCCCCCAAGCACACTCCAACTTCCAGCATTTTTTCTAAGAACATTTAGGATTGTGCCTTAAGTGCTACTAGCAGATCTTCCACTGGTGATATAAAGCTGTGCAAGAGAAGCTACTGGCTGCTGTGTGTATGTGAGATAATAAAAATGAAATGCTAATAATACGTAGCCATTTATCATTTTTATCTCCCTATATAGATGTGAATTGTATAGATGTAGGTTTGGTTTCCACATGATAATATGAAAGACATAAATATTAGATTATTTAAATGCAGCCTTGCATTTGTGAATTAACTTGTTTTTGCAAAAATCTATTTAAGAACACAGAAGTGATGACTATGAATGCGGCTTTAGTATTATATACCTAGCAATTTCTAACTTGAAATTGTGTTTTACTTCTTTTCGTGGAGTTAAAAAAAGAAAGCTCTTAAGACTGAGGGAACTCCTTTAGCCGTTCAACATTAGCAGGTGTCTCATGATGCCATCTGCAAATTAAAACCATAGAATAACTATAAAATTTGGACAGAATACCAGAGCAGATGACTTATAGTATGTACCACTTTGTATATTGCTTTAGGAGAAAGGGATGTATTGATATACTGAAAATACAGCAACATCATACCGTCTCCAGGGATCCTGTCTCTTCTCTATCAACTGCCCATATTCTCTGATAATATGTAAAAATATTAGTATGATAAAACAATGCCAGTTCTAGTCCATCCTGCCTTCCTTCTTCTTTTAAAATAGTGGCTAACTCCTTTTTGTGCTAAACTGAAAGCAGGACTATGTTAAGGCCACATATGTTTGCATATGGCAATTGTTTTATTCATCAAAGTCAGTGTAAACAGGAAATTATTTTACATATCCTGAGTAAAAGTACAAATCCTCACTCCTTCCAACAATCAGGGGCTTGTCTACCCATGCTTTTTAGGCACATATACCCCAGCCTACATTCTGAACACCCATCCATGAATCAAGACTAGCAGGGGCTGGAAAAGCAGACATGGCTAAAGGTGAAGGACCACTGACCAAGCGGCAAGTAAAAAAAGGCCACACGTATTCAAACATGAGTTCAAACTACTTTCCCCAGCACTGTCTGGTGCTTTGTAAAGATTAATCAGACCCCAGCAACTTGACCCTCCCAATGGCTCCAAGTCTCTGGCAACCCGATTCTATGGGCCACCACACACACCCAGCTTTCCAACACAGATATTCTTGTTCAAAATTAAAAACCAACAAAAGTGTGATGCATATAGTGGTTTTAAGAGTACCTAGTCTAGCAATAAATGGTTGTTGTGCTCTGAGCAGTAGTGTAGGTTATGCTGTCTTTTATGAGAATTGTGCTACTAGTGCAGTTAGAGCCACCTCGGACCTTCTGAATGCAAGTAAGCCAGAGCCAAACCAGATAAAGGCATCATGGCATCTAACATGTCTGCTTTTCTCTTTAAAAATAGCAGGATCACAGCTTCTGCCCTTGGTGAACAAATTGGGCTGGGGGGATTTTTGTAAACAGTTTGAGAAGGAGAAAGAATTAACCCCCCCTTTCCCCATGCCATAGTCCTGGTCATGAACTCCCTCCTGGGTAGCTATTTTAAAGCGGGGAAAGCCATGGCAAATGCAGCCTAGTGTTTAATGAAGCATCTATTTTAGTATTCAAACACAGTAGTCCCCACTCATTTGTTCCATGACCATCAAGACATTATGCCCCTCATAATTTATATTCTAATGATCAGTAAACCCCATGAAGACTGACACCAAGCTGCCCAATCTCCTCAGCTGCCGCGCTGAGTCCTGTAACTCTGAGTCATCTAATAAACAATGTTTATTATAAACATTTTGTCTAAATTTATTATATACCGAACAGTATGCTTATTAATGTGCTAATCTGCTTTGTATCTGAATACAGCCCAGGCAAAGAAGAAGCCAAATGGAATATTTCACCCAGTACTATACAGATTGGAATCACCTGGAACCTCTCATGGTCTGGTTTGCTCAATTTAAAACAATCATCAACAGAAAGCTGACTTTTGTCAACAAAATACTACATACTTACCACAGCTATTACTCATCCTGCATTTTTTTAAAATGTTGGTACTTCAGTTGCTCTTCATGGTGACCAAAACTTACCCAGTTGAGAGGTATCCCTGCTTAAATGGATTCTGTTTGAAAAGGATTCTGCCTAGTATAATGTACCACAATTATGGAATAATATTTGCAAGCACATTTGTAATTTTATGTTGAAACTTTTCTTCATTCAAGCAAACAGAAGTCTTTCCACTGGATTCAGACAAAAATAGAATAAACGAAAACCTTTTCCATGACTTTCTCCTCCAACACTTTCCTCTAAAGCGTGAGACATAAATCATACATTGACAAGTGCAATTCAGACATCCCATGAGTAAACTCACAGAATTCTGCTGCTTTCCACTCACAAGAGCCTCTCCTTCCGGAGGGCAAGGAAAAGAGATTTTGGCCAACTCCTCCTTTCCCCAGTAGCCTCCAGTACCACCTTCCACATGACTCTGTATGGTCTTCTGACTCTCTGGACTAAATTTTGAAAGCACAGGGGCCAGTGGGAGGAATCAGCAAAGATTTAATCCCCCGTTTAATTAAACATTAATATGCTTAATCTCTAACAAATGCTTCCACTACAGTTTTGGGAATGGAATGGGTCCTTTCATTTGTGGAAGGGAAATACTGAATTAAAATGAATTTGTGATCAATGAACATCACTTAAGAACAGACAAGCTCTCACTTTTCACTGGTGAAAATCCAGTCTATGATCAGGTTGCCTACACCCAGCTGGCTTGTTTTTCAATGGCTTCCAATAAATTCTAAAAGGACAAAGCAAACTGTCTGCACCCTGGAAAAGGTGAGAGGGTGATTCCCAATCCAGACACTGGGAATACCAGTAGCAGCCTTCCCTTCCATTCTGATTGGGTGCTTGAATAATCTCAGTAATTATCTCATGGAAGTATTACCACTCTCATACATAAAAATTTACCCTTAAATTCTATTTCATTTGTAAATAATAAAAACTCAAATATAGCTAGCTTGTATGAATATGCCCATCACAAGAAGGATTCCACTGTCCATTTATTTCTCAAAATCTAGGAATGCTTGCAGTTTCCTAAAACGCAATGACTATAAGAACATTTCTTTATTGGTCTCTGCAATGGAAAATGTATAGAGCTAAAGAGTGATTAAAAAAAGGCTCTGTGTGCTTGTCATCTGAATGCACATCAGGTAATAAAAATGCTTTAATGGTGACAGAGAAAACTACTACTGATGTGAATAAATTACCACAGTGCCTCTTACAGATAAGGCAAATATGTTCTCACTTTAATGCGCTACATGTATTGCAATAACTTAATCCATGGGAAACAAATATTTCACTGGCAATAGATGGCTAATGTAATTGCAAACATTTGCTTGGCACTGTCCTTTTAAAATGAAATGAAAAGTGCTTAGCAAATGAAATGACTGCATGCTGTTCAAAGAAATACAGTGAATTTTAACAGGGCACTAGAAATGTTAACTGTTTTACCACTATCAAGCTGTAACTGATTTGGAAAGAAATAATGAACATGACTTTTGAATGCTACTGAGATTTTAACACTGCTGTCAAAATATCTAGTTTTTTAAAAGGTGCTAAAGGAATACTGGCTGATTTGAAGTCCAGTGAGATGGAAACTGCCTTGGTCACCCTGTGGGATGACGTTGGCAGGGAGAATGGCGGGGGAGTGTGACCCTGCTGATTCTTCTGGACATCTCAGCAGCTTTCGATGCCATCAGCCATGGTTTCCTTCTGGATAGACTGGCTGGGCTAGGAGTAGGAGGTCCTGCATTGTGGTGGCTTGGCTCCTACCTGATTGACTGATTCCAGAAGGTGGTGCTGGGGGATTATGGCTCTGCGCCATGGCAGTTATGCCATGGAGTACTGCATGGCTCTATTTTATCTCCCATGCTTTTTAACATCTACATGAAACTGCTGAGGGAGGCTATCCAAAGGTATGGGTTGAGGTGTCATCCATATGCAGATAATACTCAGCTCTATCTCTCTTTTTCATCAAACCCAGGTGAGGCAGTGCCCACTCTGAATCTCTTTCTGGCACCAGGTTAAAACCCTTTTATTCACCAGGAATTTCAACAGTTATCGTTTAGTTTTTATTAGATATCGCTGCTCTGCCTGCGTGCCCACGTGAATAATTTGGTTAGGTCACTGTTGTCACTATATTGGTCTACTGTTGTATTGTGTAATGGTGTTAGGGTTTTTTCTGTCTCTTTGTTTTTCTGTCCTTTTAACTTTGTAAATTGCTCAGAGAGCCATTTGGCTATTGGGTGGTCTAAAAATGATTTAAGTAAAATATAGTTTCTCCCTGAATTTCTGATCAAAAACCAAAAGCTTCATTAACTACAAGGCTCCAGCACGCATACCCCATAACTGTGGATGAAGGTGGTTCATTATAAAAAGGGAATATCAGAACAAATGTCTGCTTTCATGGATGAGCATACAAAACCTCAAAAATTAATGCTTCTCTAGTTGCATTACTAATAGCACATTCCCATACCTGTGTAGGACACACTGAGTTAAAGTCACACTTAAAAAGTGAAGAAAAATGTTAGTATGCACTTCTGTAGCATCATTTCAATTGTGATCAGTTTTCACATGATTCGCAAAACAAATTGCATTGGTGCAGGTATTTGAGTACAACCGTAATTACAAAGTTTGCAATTGACATTTTAAAAATGAACACCCTAACCTGCATTACACACCAAACAAGAAGGGTTCAATAAAAGCTACATTTTTTGTCATAGTTGCACTCCACAGAGCTTTGTTGGCACTAGGGAACCTATTTTCATGCACTACATTTTTCTGCAGCAACCTACTGAACTCTGAAAGATTGCACAGCTCTCCAAAAGAGCATGGGAGGTGGCATTGGGGGCTGCAGAGAGGACTGGGAAAAACGTTGCCCTATCCCGTTCCTCCAGCAGGAAGTCTCTGCTGTATCCTGAACCCCTCCGTGAACAGAAAGAGTCTTTTGTCTGCAGTGATTCCAACCACTATGTTTATATTCATGTAAGGGCTAGAACACACTTTGCTTTTGGTCTACCTAGCACTACACTTAAAGTAAAAAAGCAAAGCAAGAACTGAAAACCGAAGTGAGAAGGATGTGAGCAAATGGAGAATGGGGCACGTTGTCTCTTTTGACCATAAGTGGAGTTTGACTTGGCATGCTCATCAAGTGGAAATTTAATTTCCATTCTCATCTGGTGTTTGACTTTCATTCAAGGGACTATGCAATGCCAAACAGAACTAAAATGCATTTTTGGATTTATGAGTCCTAGTGCTTTTTATGCACTTTGTGCTGAAGCCATTAAACTAGTTCAGTTATGGATATTAGCAAAGGCCTGTAACAGGCTTTGTTTATTCCCTCCCCCCAACACTTTCTCCAAAAGATCAAGATTTCATTTTCTTTTACAGTTGTCATCAATCGTTTCATTAGTTTAAGCTGTGAACAATTATAAGCTGTGCATGCAAGGAGGGGATGATAAAAAAGCAATATGAAAGCCAACATTTTCACTCTACATCAGCACATACCATGCATAGTTACACACGCGGTCTTCAATCAGCATGCTAGCGGAAAAACTGATGTAGCTGGAGTGAAGAGCCTGAGGAAGTGCAATGCATAAATCAATTGAAATATCATGCAACAAGCTTCTTACATGCATAAAGACTGCTATTTAAAATATAGGCGATATCTAAAAAAAGCCTGGAAAATCCATCTGCCACAGGAGAGCTGTGCAGTTTCACATGTGGAGGTGAGGCTGCTCCCATCACCTTGCAGGACAGGAATGGGCAATTAGTGGCCCTCCAGTTTTTTGGTTTACAATTTGCACAACCCCTCACCTGAGTTGTGGTCCTCCAGATGTTTTGCCCACCTCTGTTCTAGAGACTAAGGACTCTAGGTTCTCAGGCACATTAGGCAATCTTACAAGGAAGGCCAGAGCCTCTTGGATTGCGTCTATGAGCTTCGTTCAAGGAAAAGCAGTATTAACATCTGGCACTGGGTCACATTCGTAAATTAGTATGAAGCTATACAGTATTGAATGCCTGTGATGTCTGAAAGCATGTAGATGTGACAAGCATTTTATGAGAAGAATGTTCCATCCATGCAATGAGTGGTATTGAAAGGGGGCAGAAACAGGCAGGGGAAAAGTGCCAGCATTACATTATGGAAGTTACAGGAAAACACACTCACATGCCCCATGATCTAGATTCATCACTGATCTTAGTATTCTAGCAAAACATTTAAAACATATTTATACCCTACTGGTAGAAATATTGAAACAGAAAGGTTTGCACTGGCATGGAAAAATCACCTCAATCTAGTGGGAAACTAGTCCATAGAATGGCTTAGGGTTCTAGACTGGCGTAAGGTTCTAGTCCAAACTAGCATGACTAACCACATAGTAACAGATGCCAGCTGGAGCTCATAGGTAAGGAGGTTTGAACTCAGCACCTTGTTTAGAGCCCTCTGTGGTTTTAGAAAAAGTGCTAGCATTTATAGAGGGCTAAATCAACAGTGGGAGTTAGAAGGGGGAGCTGTGGATGCCACTGCCTGCTTGCTCCTGGCCTGCTGTCAAACAACCAACAGAAATGGCAGCAAGGCTGAAAAAGAGACTAAGGAGCAGCAGAACCTGGTGACAATGGAGACAAGAAGAATGAATGAGAGAGCCCAATGAGGGCATCTTCTCAAGGGCCCTCAAAAACCTGAAGCCAGCACTGAACATGAGTTTCCCTTCCCATCTTCCCTCCAGCCCTCTGGAGCAGATTTGGGGCATGTGCAGAGGAGAAGGGAATCTCTTCTGTCAACAGCACCCAGTTTTTAATTTTTGGTAGAAGGACACTATTACATGCAACACATAGATTCCAATCTCACTCTTTTCCCATTTCTGGATTAGCCCTTAAACTGTTGCTGTAACCCTTATATTATTAAAAAAACGTTGTCCCAGCTGTATTGCTTCAATGTAGCTCATGTATATATATTATCTATGAATATAATCCCTGCTTTTGTGCAAGTGAGGTCTGTCTAGTGTCAACAGTTGGTTTTTTGTTTTTTTTGTTTTTTGGTGTCACTTTGAAGTTTCTCCTACTCCAAGGAACTTGACATTATACAATGTGACATTTTAGGGTTTTTTTTTTTTTTTAAATCAGTTCTTGGTAGTTTAGTTGCTCTTTGTTTACACACTCTTTTACATTCTTGAATGTGAAGTCTTATGTTTTATCATATTATGAACCACCTAGACAGCTTTGGCTATTGGAAAATGTAATAAATGATGAAGGAATGTACTTTTATTTGCATTTGCTCCTTTTCTGAATTTATCATCCAAGCAGAAATATAGGACCTGTTCCACAAACTCAGTGTGGCATAACAGAACTCCTGGTTAACATCACCTGTGCAGACAACAGAGCATGGGCTGGTATCACTATCCTTTCCACCCATGCAGGGAAGAGTTCACCTGAGTCCACATGGGTTTCTAGAAGAGATTGTAAGTATGGAATGAACATATCTGTTCCCGAAAAAGATCCATCAGCCACCTTCATATTTTGCTCTTTCGGTATATATTCCTTCCATTCCTCCTACCCTGCCTTAAGCCCCCCATTTGCTTAATGGTGGTGTAGCCATTTCCAGCAAATACTATTTTAAGAATTACTCATTAATGAAAATACAAAAAGATCCCTTCCAACCCCTATAATCACTCACTGGTTTATTTTTTCCTTTTGCAGAAGTTGCTGAATTTCCCTTGCTATCTGTGGCTTTCCTTCCTAATGAGGTAAAGGGTGATGAGGTCTTGCTTAGGCTTGATGTTTGATAGTTATTATTATTGTTCTGGTTACCACTTAGCGTCTCCATTATGGATCGAAATGTTCCAAATGGTCGTTTCTGCTGGTCCCCAGTTTCAGCACTGGGAGGAGGTCGCTGGAGCACCTTACTTCGATCTTTGTCCCTTTCCCCATTTAAACCACCCTCTGTTTGCTCCCCTTGTACTACAGGTTCCTCAAAAGTCACTCTGAGTTTTAAATTCTGGGCAGTTCTGCGCTTTGAAGATGGAGATTTGAGTGCACTTTTGGGGCTTGTGGTGACTTTGTGAGCACTGGTGGTGTCAGGAGCAGACTGATAGGTATCACCTAATCCCTGGCTCTGGGATACAGTCCCACCCTGATACTGCGATTCGTTATCAGGATCACTACTCTCTGAAGTAGGGGAAGGGCTGTGGCCATCATCCACAGATCTGGACGCTTTCATGCCAAAAGGGAACCTTCGTCCTGATGCCAAGGTGTGTCTCTTAATCATTAGGTGCAAATTCTCTGTGTTTTCAGTGTTTTCCACAATGGGCTGTGGCCTTGGCTTATCTGATCTTTTCACAGGTGTGTTCTTCTGATCTTCAGAATTATTTGAATCTGTATCAGACTCGCTAAGGGATCGCTGCATTAGATGTTTCAGCCTTGCTAACTTCAACTCCTTTTTTTCCGGAGGCATCTTCTTGATGTTCTTGGAGGCATGGACCTCCTGAAATTCTAATGACAGCTTTTCCTGCATGCAAACATTCTCAGAGATTTCTTTCCCAAGAAGCTGGCGCAGGATTTTATCAGAGTCCTCGTCTTTCAACTTGGGCCGACTGTGATGTGGCGTTCCCCCACTGCCAAGAATCTGAATTCCATCACGGGCGTTCAATTTACTTTTTGGTAGAGTTGAGTCATCTGTATCAGTTGGTTTCCACTGAGGTTTGCCAGAAGTGGGTGATGCTGGTGAACTTCAATGGTGAGGGAAGAGAGAGGGGAAAAAGGAGGTCAGTACAGGAGACCACAATCAAAATTATACAGATACAAAGTGCAACCCTGATGTCTCCACTGCACATGTTTATCTGAACATCCAATTGCATTCTGCTTGATGCTTAGCCAAATGGAATGCATTATGGAGTCATGCTACTGCTTCCACAGTTAAGCATTTAAATCTGTTTCCAGGGTAAGCTTGATCCATTATTTCCTTTGTTTGCTAATATCCAAAGAAGTAATTTCTCTTAAAGATTTACTTTAGATATTGCTAGAAGAATTTCTAGAAATAACTTAAAAGAAAACTGGAATACTAAAATACACATGGATCTTTTACAACTCTCTTATCCTGTTTTTGTATATTAAGTAAAATCTGAAATTCCATTTTCTTTCAATGAGCAAGACTTTTGACTTCATGGTAATATGAAGATGGATAATTAGATCCCTGTCCTGGCAGCTGACCATCCAAAGTTGGACACTGGAGAAAGCCATAGTAGTTCAGAGGAAATAGGAGGAGTGGAAAACTCCAAGATAACAGGATCACCATAGAAGAAAGATTGTATGTCTTTACTACATAAACCATTTCTGCCTACTATAGTAGTTAATTTCTAGTGTGATCCTATGTCTACTCAGAAGTAAGCTCCACTGAATCCAATGGGCTCATTTCATCCTTGATGCATTTGCTCTGTAATAGTATGACATAAGCTGTTTAAACAAATAAGCTCGGGGTGGTGCAAATCATAATGTACGATACACTGAAAAAGTGGGCTAACCTCTGGCATAGAGGGTACATGGGCTCTCAGTAAGAATGGTAGTACTGAAAAGCCCAGGGGTGGACAACCTGTAGCCATTTGGGTGTTTTGGCTGACAACTGCTCTCACCAATTGTTAGCTAGCTAGTCAATGCTGAAGGAGTATGGGAACTATAGCCCAAAACATCTGGAGGAGTGATAGGATCGCAGGCCTCATTAGATGCTTTAGAGATCAATCCTGTGGCTCCTAGACAACAGCTGAAGGGGCACAGAATAATTTAATAGTTTATATTATTTTAATAATTCAGCTCTAATAATTTTCCTCCTTGATCTGAGAAGGGAATCACAGAACTGCCAACCCCACCTGACCCCTGGCAGAGAGAACTGTGTTGGCTGCCTTCTCACTGACATCTGAGAGGGGTGAAAGGGGATGTTCTGGTGGTTAGGGAAGAAAGGAGCCTGGAGAGGCTACACAGCTCCCCTGAATCCTCCTTCGTCCTCCTTCAAAACATTCTGCCCATTTAGACAGGCAGAACAGCCCATCTAAATGCAGGGTCTGAGGAGAGGATGGTGAAGATGGCCTTTGCTTCTGCCCCTCTTCTAGCTGTCAGAATTGAGTGTTAAAGTCAGCAAGGGCATAATCTACAGGATTGTGCTCTTAAATAAGCTGCTTCCTTCTCCACCTTATGACAATCCTGTGACTGAATGACCTCCAGCATGTCCTGCCCTTGATAGCCCTGTTCAAGTAGTAGATCAGATTATCATAACAGCAGGATGTTTATATACAGCTAAGAGAATCTTTTTCAAGGCAGAATTGATGGCACTCTGAAGCTAAGTCTCATCCTGATTTATATTTACATAAGGGTGTTTCCAACTGCAGCTGATTTCAGAGAGACACAACTTTTGCACTTTGAATAAATGGTATGAATAACCCTGTTGATCTTACATTATCTAAAGCTGAATAATCTATTCTTTACAAAGACAGAGTGTAGTGTGCATGAGAGCAAGAGAGGAAAGATTGCAATGATAAAGGAATTAAAGAAGTTAAGTACCATTTGCTTTTTGAACATATTGCCTACACATTTTACCTTTTTCATTCTGTGACCATATCTCCAGAAAATTTATATTAAAGGAAAAAATGTACTTAAAGAAACCAAATGCCTGGTCGGTTGCCATACTCCATGCTAGAACTCATATTAATGGAGATATAAAATAAAACACTCCATGTTCAAGAGCCTGTAGTCATCAAGATGCTGAGTGAAGTGCCTGGCTGGGCACATATTAACTAATGTGTTGAAACATCTGAACTGGATGCCTACTGGGGATGTATGGAGTTGTTCCATCTACGTTTGATGGATTTCCAGGTGCCTTTCATTGCTTCCGCTCATGGAGAACAGAAGAGCAATTGTGGACTGTGGACATGAACATGCCCCTTGTTAGTGATGCAGTGAGGGCTAGGTCTTCCAATGTTATATAATTAATTTTACTTGGAAATTCATTGGCTAATCTGGGAGGGAAGTGGTCGCAGTGAAAGAGGGCACTAGAGAAGATCATCGAGGAGAAGATGGCTAAGCAACTGACAGCTGCCCACTTTTCTAGTTCTTTCTCCAACCAAATGGCCCATGGTTTTCTTCACAGCTTGCCCTCAGCTCTGGTGCTGCTGTTGCTGCTGCTGAGTGCCAGGTCAGTCCAAACCAAAATCTCCTTCATCCATGGTTTAATTGTGGATGATAGGGCCGAGGGGATGTGCATTATTGAACCCTGAGTGGCAGAAGTAAATGGTTTAGCCTGTCCCTGCCGTACCCTCTGGGATACTCAGTACAGCACCAAATTTGATTTGAAGGGCGGGAGGAAGGTTGCTGTTGTCCACAGCAATTCTGTTTCCCTCTCTAGGCTTCCTGTCCATTTGAATGTCAAACTTGAGTGATTCTACTTTTGCTGGGAAAATCAGAGAGTCTGCTGGAGAGCTGCCCACCGTGCCCTGCAGTCTCCCTGCATGAGCTGACAGAGGTGGTGTTGAAAACCCTTCAGTTGATGGTTCTGGGGAATCATAAATTCCATGACAAATCTGACAGATCTGGCACAGTTTAGGATTTCATAGCTACCGTAACAACCATAGTGCTGCCTCAATATGTCAGTGGCCCAGTGCAAGCCAGATGACACATCATTTCTCCACTGTGCTTTCTCAGAAAGTACACATTTGCACAACTTTCCATTTCTGCAAATGTCCTCTCCTGAAAATGCAAAAATCCTCCTCCAAATATGCAAATACATGTAATATGTATATTTTTACTCTTTCTGTAGGAGAAATGCAGATTTTTCAATGTTCTTTATTTCTTCTGATGGCTGATTTTGCATAAGGGAAAACTGAAACAAAAAAGATTTAAAAGACTGGAATTCTTGTGACTTGGGAACAATCTTGGGAAATTTTAGATTTTTAGAAAATTGAAATTAACTGAATATGTTGTGGATTTTTTTTAAACCTTGTACTTCTGATACCTTAGACAAAGTTCCATGTTTTTTTCTCAACAGCTTGGGACCAGGCTACCTGGCAAATCACCTTCCCTGATACAGACCTGCGCAATCATTAAATCAGCAAAGAAGGTCTTGGAGGTTGTATCACAACCACTAGATTGCCATCTCACAGCAACCAGGAAGTGGGTCTCCTTCACTGTGGCACACATGTTATGGAAAAACCTCTTCCTTGATGTTTGAGAAGAAGTAGCATGCTTTAGGTGTTGTTCAAGGGCCCTTTTTTAAACTAAGCCTTCCCAGTTTGTTGGTATTTATGGAATTGTACTGGACTTAATGTTTTAGGAAGGCTTTGGCAAGCATTAAGCTTTTCAAAATATTAATTTTCTGTGAACAGCCAAGACACATTTGAAGGTATGCCCACCAAAACATACAAACAAACCAACAAAAGCTACTTTATATTACAGGTCCATGAAAGTTAGGATTTGAATCCAACTCAGTGGTGAATTTAGTGGATGGCCTCAGAAAAGCAACTGCTGCTTAGCCTCAGCTGTCAGCTCATCAGTAATATAACAAGGCTATGATAGAGTTATTATCTAATCATAAAAAGGGTTTTGCAAGGACTACTGAGATAAAATATGAGAAACACTTCTATCAGTTAGGGCAAACCTTCCCAACCTGGTGCCTTCCAGATTATTTTGGATAACAGCTCCCAGAATTCCTGACCATTGTACATACTGGCTAGGACTGATGGGAACTGAAGTCTAAAACATCAGAGGGCGCCAGTCTGGGGAAAGGTCATTTAAAAAAATGGCATATAAATATTAAGTGGTGTCTGATGTAGCTTTTGTAGACTTTGTTGGAATCAATGAATCATTTGTCTGAAGACCCATTCCAGTAGTAGAAACTGCATTTTCTGCACATGGATAAAGAAAATATCTGTTGCTCTAGAATTATATCACATGACTCACATTTTCATCTTTTCTGAAATGAAAGCAAAGATATGGTACACTGGATTACTCCTCATAGTCCAAAGTCAATGGGGTTCATATTCTGTACATGTTTCAGTATATTAACTAAACTAACATGCTTCTTCTCAGTAAGTTATATTTAATTCTTTAGTCAAACCATCTGTCCTAACTTGAATAGGAAGTCTGTAGCAAAGATAGAGCTGACTTTTTTCCCTTGTGCAGTACTTATTCAGCTGAAGTAAGGCAACCTCTTCTGGGGTTAAATCACTGAAATGTGCAATTATACACTTTGCATGGTATTTATATTATAAAGTGAAGAGAGATTACCTTTAGGGCACATGAACAGCAGCCTGCCTACCTGCCAAGCCTATTTTGTCAGCAAAAGCCTTTATCAATTACTAGGTTACTATGGGCTGCCATAAGGTCACATTTTAGAAGTTCACAAGATGTTTCCTGTGATCTTTTTGAAAGGTTCCACCATAAACCAAGCCACACTGGAGAAAAATAGGATAGTAATTTTACTTGAACTTACAATGTCCAGTACTTACATTAAACAGTTATGGTTTTCAGTCATATGACATTTTCCTTTCCATTCTCTATTAGGTGGAGCATGACCTCCCCATGCAATGCAAAGAGTCATTTTCAAACTACATTTGAATTCTTCTCTTACATGCCTAGTTACCTTGGGGATGTTGGCAGTGACTTGCCCTCTGATCGCTGACTTTGTAGAAGCTGCTGCAGCTGGTTCTGTAATGTCACACGTTCTGCTGTCTGCCTGTAATGAAATATTAAATTCTTAACCCCCATTTTTTTCCTTAAAAAAACCTGTCAGTGGCTGTGCTAAAAGGGAAATGATAGTTTTCACTCAACATCACTTTGAGAAGAAAGCCTCTGTTCATTTATAATTTAAGAGTTGCACACACAGAGTGCATACAAATTACAAAAATGCACAAAGGAGGTCTCTGTTCCACAAATTGCTTCTAATCCCTGTGGGAACGCTGTGATCACTCTATTGTACCTTTTGAAAACTGCCTGCCTTGTATAAATTATTTATTACTAGTAGTGACTTGGGTTTAAGTTGCTAGATTAGAATCCCAAGGAACAGTTTGCTGGAGCTGTGGGACTTACAACAATTAGCTTACCTGTGTCCAATTAAAAATGAACTCACAGAAAATTTGGAACTAGTTCAGTGTAACTCTCTCTTGCCTGTGATTTAGCAGCAAAGTTGATTCAAGATGCCTGTTTCCCCTGGAGTACATTCATTTGGTAAAGAGCAAGTGCAGCTCATCAATATTCAGTTAAAAAGCTACCGAGTAGAACAAAATCCATTGATGACAAATTTATTAACAGCAGTAAAATTAATAATAGCAAGGAATTGGAAAGTAACAGGTGATTATCAAAAAGTCAACTGGTATAAAGAAGTTTGAAATACAGCTTTTCAAGTAAAAATAATTTTGAAAATATTTGGAGACCATTGATTGAATACGTCTTAAGGAAAGGGGTGTGGGCCATCACATGGGTCAGTGCCGTTCTGGAAGGGAAGTGAGAGTGGAGCAACCTGTATGAATAAATGATCTTGCACAATGTAGCATGATTTGTTAGTCCCGGTGGAGGTAGCGCAGCATTATTGGACTGTTCAATTATGTCTATTACTATTATATTAATTTTATTGCTCATGTTTGTTCAATTAAAAATTTAAAATAATAATAAAAAAGAACAAAATCCATACAAGCTTTGGATCATTCAGCACATTTCAAATGTTGAGTGGATGTTGTGGGTGCTCTCACAAAATGGCTAATAGTAATAAAAAAAAACATCTCCTGAAAGGCAAAATTGTGAGGCTGAAAGAAAGTAACTTGCTCAAGAACCTAACTATAACAAAGAGCTATGATCTGAGCTCTGGAAGCCACTGTTTTCTGTTGCAAAATTATTTGGACAGAAAATAACCTGATGAAGCTCAGAGGTAACTTCGACAAGAAACTGAGTATAAGGCTGAGGCGGACTCAGAACCCCAAATACCAAATCACTTATCTGCCTCCATAAAGCACAATAACAACAAAATAGGAATTTCAGAGAAGGAAAACTGGTAATTATCATATTAATGCGCAACCACATAAGGCAAAACAACTACTTACACAAAACCTCCAAGCAAATGAGACAGACAGTATACATATGGCAAAGATCCAGGCCCCCTTCCTCACACACATAACATCACAAAGGGAAAAAAAAAAAAAACCAAACAAAAAAAACCCCCACCAAGACAACACACACAGACACACACAGAGCGCAAAGCAGAGCAGCACGTTGCTTCCCAACACCTCTCTACCCATTGTGAGTGCTTCCCCAGCCAGAATTTGCTTTTCATTTCTCCTGGTGCCCAGGCACATTTTCAAACAAAGCTCTGAGCTGTGGCTACCCATGATTTTTATTTTTTAAGAATGCCTTGGTAGTTATACAGGGAACAAGAGAACAAGGGACTGCTGGCTCCTCACTATCCAGCATGTCATCCTCCTAGGATTTTCAATCTATCAATCAATCAAAAATCAGAATGGACAAGGGGCTTGGAGTGCCAAGGGAGGTACCCAGAAAAAGAGAGTGAGAATAAATGCATCCCAGTACTAAAGAAAAAAAGTAGCATATTAGAAAACAAAAGATGGAGAATGCAGAGTTTCTTTGCATCCACAGACATGTGGGAGTATCAACAATACCCATAATCCTCTGTTTAGCTTACAGCCATTGCCATCTGTAAAATAAGGTCAAATCTTCACTGGCTAGAAACTCTAGTTTTTATTATTATTATTACTACTACTTAGCAATTTTTGCAAGAACACATTCTACACTTAAAGTGTAAGTACCCTTTGTATTCTGAGGTTAGGAGCTGAGTTCCTGTGTGTTCTACTTCATGGTTGGCTCAAGACAATTTTCTAACTGAGGCAAAATGCCCCCACCATAGCTGATCTGTTAATGGCTGAATCTTACTTGAACTCTGGTATTGGGACAAAATCCTCACAACACCTGATGCCTGCAAAGTAGCACAGGGATCATCTACAGTTCTAACCTCTAACAACTCTCTGTTCACTTCACTGCTTCACTTTTACCAGATTTTAGATTTAGGCACTCACCTCCCTAATGTACATGTACTTCAGTTATAGTCATTTGCAGAGACTGAACACAATATCCTAAGATAAATAGCCTAGATATCCATCCTGGCAGATACGAGGATATTTAAATAAAGTCCATCTTCTGCTCATTTACTTGTCTTAGCTCAACTTGTTCAGCTCAGTTTTAATTGCACTGGAGATGATTACCAATAGATTTGATGAAAAGATTACATGCAAGGCAATGGATCATAGTAACAGTCAGACTGGCACTTAGATGGGAAGTTTTTGTTTAAGGAGTTAACTTGGAATATACTGCTTTTCTTTAACAATTGTTCAAATGGGATTTACTGCAGGTCAAAAATAACAAAATCAAACAGGTGAGTCAAATTTCTGTTGAAGGGCACTCAGCTTGTCTTGCTAAGATATAAACTCTACTCTGCAAAATCCTGCTCAAGAGAAACTGTTTTAACTAATTTCCTGCCAAAGCCAGTTCTGTACAGTATTAATGTGCTGGCCCTTGTGACATCAAAAAACTTTGTTTGGAGGGAAAAATGAGTTTTGTGCTGCTGCTTCTCCTTCTCCTTTTTAAAGGAGCAGTACCAAGCAAACATTTAACTGAATAAACTTCTAAGGTGTTTATAAAACCCATGCTGGACAATCTACCTGAAGTATGGAGAAGGATGGAAGGTTGATAGAAGAAATCAGTGTTAGGCTTAGACGGGAGGCATATATTGCCATTCAGTGAGCAAATGAAGTGGGAATCCAACCGTGCAACACAATTCAACAGCTCGCATGAACTTCTGTTGGTATGTACATCTGCATTCATCCCAAATCACATGAAACAGATGATGGGACAATACTGTCTGAGGACTGTTGAAGGGCAGAAGTATGGAATCTTTCCATTGTTCCACGCATCACAATGCTAATACATTCTCAGCCTTTCCCAATCTGGTAGCCCTCCAGATGCATTGGTTTCCAGATGTGTTCGACTGCCAATAGCCATGTTGGCTGGGAATTATGGGATTGCAGTCCAACACATCTACAGGGCAATCAGGTTGGGGATTACTAATTTATGTAAACATTTCTGAGACACATTCTTTTAAAATGCATAAACTATGTTTAAAAACATAGACAACAAAGAGTTTTACAACACCTTAAAGACTAACAGATTTAGTGTAGCTGAAGCATTTGTGGACTAGAGTTGACTTAATAAGAGCAGCTGCAACTGACAAAGTAGACTTTGTTCCACAAAGCTTTTGGCTGCAATAGGTCTGTTAAGTCATGAAGGCACCATAAGACTCTTGGTTGTTTTGCTGCAACAAACTAATTTAACTACCTCTCTGGATGTTATTATCAATCAGAGTCATGCATAATGCCTGAAAGTAGTTTTTTGATGTACAGGTTGAAGTGACACAAATACAAGTGTAAAAAGATCCTAAAAGGATCAGGTACAGAACTAGGGAAACATAATAATCATTTTTGCCAACTACTGTTGATAGGAATCCTGCCTGCATTGCTTTCCACAGGTAGAACTGAGTTCTAGGGATGGCTGAAGTTCCCTGTCCCCAAAGCTCCTTTCTGATACCTCTTTCCCATACTAACTGCACAGCACTAACAGACCTGAGTATTTGGATTGCTTGGCCAAGATTGCTTTTAAAAGGACTTGAGGCAAATTCATGGCGCACAGTTCTATCAATGGCTATTAGCCATGACAGCTAAACGGAACTTGTTTAGGGTAGGAATGGAATTCAGAGGAACCCATCCCATCTGGTTATACTCTTAGGTTAACAAAAATTAGAAATATTGAAAGCATTAAATGTCAGTACATTTTTTAACAGTGTAGTCAACCTACACACACACATGGACACACACACGCCCCATTAATAGACAATACCTCCATTTTTTGTTGTTTAGCATGCGTGTTACCCTGGGTGCTTAGTGCTGCTTAACAGGCTGGAAGGAGCCACAATTTGGCATAATGTATTATTGGTTATGTTTCTGAACTGTAGGTCTATCCATTTGGATGAAGAGTAGGCCAGTGAGTTATTTTGTGCTGAGGGAAAGTTACTATACCATATAATCTTTTGGGGGCCTACCTGCTTCCTGAGTTACAATTCCAGTTCTGTTAGTTTGCCTGTACCTCTGAAAACAAGGGGACAAAGAGAGGGATGCTGTTTTGTGCTTAAAAGCTTCTAGGAAGCTGGACCCCAGCGTGATCCAGTAGGTCTATTCTTATATTCTCATCAGATAACTTATGAAGTAGAAAAAATAGTTTTATATTGTCACTTGTGAAATGGGATAAGTTTACTTTTCCATGAGTATTTTGTTTTGGCAGTCACTGCTTCCATCAGCTTTCTGAGTTGCTTAACTCATGGCAAAATGAGAGACATCACTGTAAGCAGGCTCTGGTGTGCACGTTTCCCCCAGCACTGATATTATCTCCATGAACCCATCATGTGGGTCCCTGAGTCAGCACCGGGTAAGGAAACAGCAGCTCTTTTCCACTGTTAACTGCTGCTCATAGCTTCTTTCCTCCCTTCCATTAACTCCTTTGTAAGGGTAAATTTCCCCAGCAGTGCTTTTCCTCCACCCGCAGCTGCCTTTTAAGACCATATGGCAAAGCCAGTGATCATGTACAGGCACCTCTTCATTTCTGCTTTCACTTTCAGAATGA